CGGCGCCAGCCTTACCAGCCCCTGCGAAATCAAGTAAGTCCCTCGGCATCGATATTACGCCTGGTGGCCTGTCTAGTGATAAGCGCATGATTTAGCTAGATTAATCGACCCCGCCGCTTTGCAGCTTCAGGAAGGCTTCGGTTAACTCGCTTGTGTCTTTGCTTATTCTAACGCCTGGTAGTGTATAGCGTATGTGAAGTCAGCGCGACGACGTAACGTATTCGATATCACGAGTCGATATCCGAAATTGGTCTTGCGATAGATTACGTCTGTTAAAAGTGTTTTATTAATCGTCCCTGTACTTTTCTATTTTCGATTCTCTTTTTATGTTATATTCTGTTGTAATTATTACCGCCGCGACAACGCGATCTCACCGTATCACATAGGTGAACTTTATTTTGTAATTTTTTTTTCTTGTTACTTTTGCTCAATTGTCTCTGATTCCGCGGTGTTATAATAAATTGTTTATTTCTCCTTGTCTATCTGCAGTGTGGTTGATTGCGATCCTAATCCGAGATTCGCTCGGGACAGCCGTGATTATTTATCATCCGACCCACCCCCTCTCCGTTTCAAATAGAGCTAGTCGGCCCATTGTGCTGAGCGACGCATATTTTGACGCGAGTACGCGTCTGGCGCCCAAAATTATATCTAAGAATTCGTCGGCTCGGTACAGTGGTTGCTCGGTTTATCACCCTTTTCTCTCCTGCTGATCTAGACGTTTCCTATCTCGTGGACTTCCGTCCGTGTCCCGATCTCGTATCTTTCCGTTTCGGGCGGGACGACGCGGGAATTTTGTAACAACAGAGAAAAACGTCACAGGAAGAAAATTTGGCGTCCAACGTGGGGCAACGTTAGGCAAACGGAAATTGTTTGTTCGATTGTGGAGATATTGAGACTTAGGGGCAACGTTAGGCAAACGGAAATTGTTTCTTTCGAAAGTTGAGAGGTCTAGGCTGTTACCGTATCGCTCCGGTTGGTATCGTACCGTATCGCCAGTAGATTCTTTTGTACTATCGTCCCGTATTGTTTATTATCGTATCGTCAGTCTCGTTTATTGTCGTACAGTCTCGCCTTTGAGAGTTATTGCAGCCGGCCAGCACCGAAGTGGTGGGGGAACGCACACAAGCGAAACCGCCGTNGTCCGTGTGCGCTCGTGGAAGAGTGCAGACATATTATGTTCCGTCTTCCTTTCACCAAGCCGAGTATAAGGCGAGACACAANGCATGTTTACGTTGCGCGCTTGTTGCGTATGACAACGTGAAATGCTTTCTCAAGATTTGTAGTNTTGAAAAAAGTTCATAAAAGTTCATTCTTGATGTNGNTTATTATTGATATAATAATTATTATCAATAATAAAACATCAAAATGCATTATATATTTTTCTTAATTATTAATACGAGTTAACTGTGTCATAATTTAAAAGTTTTTTTATAGAATATTGAGGAACATTTATTACACACATATAATATACTATCTATCTATCTATATGTATATTCTATTATTAGTGTTCATTTTTATTTATTTTTATTTTATAATTTATTAAAAGAATCTACATATAAATAATTATATAAAAATTGCATATAAAATATAAAAATTGCATTTTTATAAATGCAATTAATAATAAAATATTTAAGTAATTTATATTATATAATTTACATATAAATAATTATAGGAAAACCAAAACTAAAACTTAAACGGATAAGCATCATAGAAGAGAGATTCTAGACAAAAACAGATGCAAATTGAGCACTATTTTTACCATGGACTATATTGATACAAGCTACACGTTAATACGTGCAGTTCGTGAAGGAAATCTAGAAAGAGCAAAGGAGATACTTACTTATTTTGGACTATCTTATTCACAAGCATGGGAACAAGGATATGTTTTACTTTGTGATGCTGTTAAGAATAGGCGTACAGAAGTTATTAAACTACTTTTAACAAACGGTTCTAATGTTAACAGCAACACTAAAAGGTGTCATGATACTCCACTTCATTTTGCTGTTAAAAATGGTGACATAGAAATTGTTCAGATGCTTCTAGACAGATGTGCTAACGTTAATGCTATAAATGTGTGTGTGTGTGTGTGTGTGTGGCACAACTCCGCTTCACGATTCGATTGAATATGAGGAGATGGAAATTGCCGAGTTACTTTTAAATTATGGAGCTAACATTAGTGCCAGTGATAAGTCAGGTATAACTTTTTATTGCAACTGAGAAATAATATATATAAATTTTTGAACATTTTTTAAAACATGGAGTTTATGTTAATTTTATATATATATATCTACATTTACACCAGGTGTTACACCACTACATCTTGCTGTTACAAAAGGACATAAACAATTTGTTAAGATGCTTATTGACAGAGGTGCTAACGTCACTGCTAAAACTCGAGATGTGTGTGTGTGTGTGTGTGTGGCACAACTCCGCTTCACGATGCGATGAAACATGAGAAAATGGAAATTGCTGAATTACTTTTAAATCATGAAGCTAAGGTTAATGGCAGTAATAAGTCAGGTATAACTTTATATTGCAGCTGAGAAAGGATATTTTAAGATTAATGATCATTTTTTAAAACATGGAGTTTATAGTAATTGTACATTTCTCTATTCCTGTACACTAGATGTTGCACTACTGTGTCTTGCTGTTCGCATAGGACATGTAAATGAAGTTCAGATGTTTCTTGACAGAGGTGCTAACGTTAATGCTAAAACTGGGGATGTGTGTGTGTGTGTGTGTGTGTGTGTGTGGCAGAACTCCGCTTCAATTTGCGATTCGATATAAGAAAATAGAAATTGCTGAATTATTTTTAAATCACGGAGCTGACTATAATGCCACTGACATCTATGGTATAACTCTATATTGCAGCTGAGAAAAAATATTTACAGATTGATGAACATTTTTGAAAACATGGAATTTAATTGGAGAGTTAATTCTACATATATCTTTTTTTTTTTCAGGTGATACACCACTGTGTCTCGCTGTTAAAAGCGGATATGTAGATGGTGTTAAGATGTTTTTGGTCAGAGGTGCCAATGTTAATACTAAAAATCGGGATGTGTGTGTGTGTGTGTGTGTGTGTGTGTGTGTGTGTGTGTGTGTGTGGCACAACTCTGCTTCACGATGCGATGGGACATGGGAAAATGGAAATTGCTGAATTACTTTTAAATCATGGAGATAACATTACCGCTAGTAACGATGAAGGTATTACTTCTCTTTATAGTGCAGCTGAAAAAGGATATTTATAAATTGATAAACACCTCTTAAACCATGGAGGTTATATTAATTGTACATATATCTACATTTACACCAGGTGTTACACCACTGTATTGTGCCGTTCGAAGTGGACGTGTAGATGGTGTTAAGATGCTTATTGACAGAGGTGCTTACGTCAATGGTAAAACTCGAGATGGCACAACTCCGCTTCACAATGCGATGGAATATAAGAAAATGGTAATTGCTGAATTATTTTTAAATCACGGAGCTGACGTTGATGCCAGGGATAAGTCAGGTATAACTTTATATTGCAGCTGAAAAGGATATTTACAGATTGATGGACATCTTTTAAAACATGGAGTTTATATTAATTCTACATATATATCTACATTTACACCAGGTGTTACACCACTGTATTGTGCTGTTCGAAGTGGACGTGTAGATGGTGTTAAGATGCTTATTGACAGAGGTGCTTACGTCAATGGTAAAACTCGAGATGGCAAAACTCCGCTTCACAATGCGATGGAATATGAGAAAATGGAAATTGCTGAATTACTTTTAAATCACGGAGCTGACGTTGATGCCAGGGATAAGTCAGGTATAACCTTATATTGCAGCTGAAAAGGATATTTACAGATTGATGAACATCTTTTAAAACATGGATGTGGGGGAAAATCCCCACTATTAACAAAAGGGTTGAACAAGAACAATTTATTAATAATTTCTTTTTTACAATTTCTTTTNGAGGTGTGTGTGTATGTGTNTGAGNGTAAGTGTAGAATGTTGTGNTGNGTGATTTATNNCCGCTCGCGNTAGACCAGGATGGGNTTGGTCCGCGTTAGCTTCTTCGGGCCGTATCGCCGGAGAGCTGGTGGAGTTCCGGGAGGAGTTCTGCTCGGCGATCCAGGCGGCGTAAGAGACTTCTCCTCAGTCTGCGTCGACGTTGAGCGTACTGCGATATTCACCGTCTGCGATGTCGAGGAGGCGACTGCAAGACTCGTCGTCTGACTTCCTCGTGGCTGACTCTCCTGCTGAGCTTGGCTCTCCTGAGGCTGACTCTCTGGTTTCGCCTGCGTTCCTCGGGTTATCCGGATGCGGATGGTCTGGCAGGCAATGCTTTTCTGCTGCTTCGGAGAAGAAGGCAGTGGAGAAATCGGCCGGGGCAGATCCACGAGGGACTCGCTGAGAGGAGAGAGCGGCCGACAAAGTCGAGGATCCCTCTCGGAGAGAAAGATGCGAAGCGGCCGAGTCAAGCGTTCTTGAGAGAGCTGTAGCTTTCGGAGCTTCCAAGGCATCTGCATACTACACTTGAGCGAAGTTTTCCTTCGCCGAAATCCGGCTCCAAAATCGCCGTTGATATAGGCATTTTGGAAATATTTATCTCCGTGCCACACATAATCATATTTTGCCTTCTCGCGGCGGCTTGTCAAAAGCTTTGACAAACTGATCTTGGCCGCGAGTTAAAAATCAATAACACGAGCTGTCATTCGGAGTTTGACAGCTGTCGTGGCGATACGGTTAGATCGCCACATGACCCCCCTGGTTGTTACGAAGCCGGTGCGAAGCGAACTGTTGGTTTTGAAATCCGTCCGCTCCGAGTTCTGGTTGGCAATTCCGTCTCTTTCGTTGCAGTAGTTTGTGGTGCTGGCTTTTGAGTTTCAGTGCTTGTTTCTTCAAAAAGATAGGCCGGTTTTACTCTATCTGCCGAGACGGTAATCTCTTTTCCATGAATGAGTACCTTGAAAACCTTAGAGTTTCTTGAAATTATCTTGAAAGGTCCATCGTAAGGTGATTGTAGCGCACCAGAAAGGATGCTGCGCCTGACAAATACATGAGTCGCCGTTTCTAGGTCTTTAAAGACGAATGGAGCCTGATGACCGTGCCGTCGAATTTGAGGTTGCAACTCTCGCATGTTTCGCTGTAATTGCTCTAACCAGGAGTTTGTCTGAGTTTCTGGAGACTGTGTTTCAACGAGGAATTGCCCGGGAAGCCTGGTGCTTTCTCCAAACACCAATTCTGCCGAAGTTGCTTGAAGGTCCTCTTTCCAAGACGCACGAATCCCCAAGAGAACAACTGGAAGTATATCCACCCAGGCCTCCGTCTGATGACACTTGATCGCTGCCTTAAGCTGACGATGAAAGCGTTCAACCATCCCATTGGCTGCAGGATGATAAGCCGTGGTTCGAAGATGCGTAGTTCCAATAAGCTTCGTCAATCGTCGAAATAAATCTGCTTCAAACTGTCGACCTTGATCTGTCGTAATCTTGAGCGGAACGCCGTATCTTGCAATCCATTCTGAGAAAATGAATCTGGCGATAGTCTCTGCTGTGATGTCAGGAACTGGAATTGCCTCAGGCCACCTCGTGAAACGATCGATGATGGTGAGACAATATCTATAACCTCGTGAAACAGGCAAAGGTCCAACAATGTCAATATGAACATGTTGAAATCTTCNAGAAGGCGCGACGAAGTTNCCGACTGGTGGTGAATTATGTCTGGAGATTTTTGATTTTTGACAAAAAAGACAAGCCTGAGACCATCTGCGACAATCCTTTTNNATTCCAGGCCAAACAAAGCGTTGTGATACCAATTTTACAGTAGCTTTTACTCCGGGATGAGATAGTTCATGCAGAGACTGGAAAACTTGTCTTCGAAATGGATTTGTTACAAAAGGTCGAGGAATCGTTGTAGACCGATCGCAGAGTA